TCAACAGTACAATTAGGATAATTGCAGTCAGCATTCAGTCAGCAGTCACTAGTCATTACAATGACTCAACAGTACAATTACTCAGCATTATATTTAAAGTGATAGAATACATTTAAAGTGATAGAACACATATATTGCCTGGACAACTTGTTAGATTTACACCATATCCTAACAATCTGTAGTTGCTGCAATCTTAATTCTTCTTGACGCTTGGCTGCCGCTCAGGTCTGTCTTTGATCCTTAGGTTCTTCTATTTTGTCAAATACCTCCAAAGCTTGAGCAGTAGTTGAAAGTTGTATTAAATCTTCTTGAGTAATCAAAGCTCCCCTTTGGGCCTGTGCCAACGATTCTTCCTTCTCCCCCTTTCTTGCCCCCTCTGCTTCCGTCTTCCTTCTAGCTTCTGGAGACTGTGGACATCCAGCCTTTAGTACATTAGTGTAAAAATCTCTTGCCTTCCACACTGAGTTAAGACAATATCTTTCTCCTGAATAGTTCACCACTAGTCCAGCTGGAACCTCCCATCTGTACTGTATCTGACAGTTTCTCAGTTCTTCCACCAGAAAGGCATAATCCCTTCTGGCTCTCAATATTTTGGGGGGGGGATTTCTTTCAGTATTAAAACCTCCTGCCCCTGCACTTGAAGTTTATTTTTAAAAGTGACTTGTAGGATTTCATTGTGTATTCTCCTTGTTGTAAAATAGACTACAATGTCTCTTGGTAGATGTTTCTGTCTGGCAACCCTTGAATTGACACAGTAAATTTTGTCAATTTGCCATTCAAGATTTGCTTTTTGATCTCCCATTATCTGTGCAAATGCTTCTGAGAAGATCTCTCTCAAATTCTCTTGCTTATTTTCTTTGAGGCCTCTTATTCTCAAAGCAAATTCAATATCTCTATATTGTATCATTATCACATCGGCCTCTGCTCTTTCCATCTTAATCTGGACCTCTCCCATTTTATTTTCCAAGTTCTCATTAGATTGCTTAATTTCTTCCACTTTTTCATCTATTGCTTCAATATGGCCTGCCAGACCTTGAACTGCCGTAATAATATCTTCTCTAATTTCTTCATTCTGTTTTTGAATAATCTCTTTAATTTTTAGTTTCCAATTTGAATTTATTTAGCAGCCAGAACAACAAATCCACCAAATCCAAAAATTCCCAGTCTTTAAATAATATCAATCCTTTTTTTAAAAAAAATCACTGCTGTAGTCTTTTTAGACTTTAATCTTTTTTTTTTTTTGAAGCAAAAATCTCTAATTTTGAACAGGGGCTACCAGCGCTAAATGAAACTTTCCTCTTTAACTTTCGCTTTCACGCCCCATTAAAGCTCAATCGCCATCTTGGTTTCACTTTCTCCCCTTAATGAGTCGGAAGGAAGTAATACACATTTGGAGTTATAGTTCAGTACTTGCAAATCTGATCTCTCCTGAGTTTGCTCAGCCTGCTTCCGAATGATGTTTATTCCAAGCGTTGTTTGCAGGGGTGGTTGCGGCGTCTTCTTCTTCTTAAAGCAGAAACATCCCGGATCCGGAGCTCTGTCAGGCTTCCACGGAGCTCTCACCCTTCGAGCCCCAGAATTGTTCCTGGGGCTCCTTGGGGAGCTCTACCTATGCCCGTCTGCTCTTTTCCTCCCCTTTTCCTGGGGAGAAAGTTTTCAAGCCACTAGACAGCTGATTTTCGCTGTTCTAGTGGCTTTACGAGATCGCAGGCGGGGCTGGCACTCACAAAAGGAGGGTCTTTGGCGCCTGAGGTGCCACCGGAAGTCCATCACCCCTGCTTCTGCAATTGTTGTCTGGATTTAAGATCCCCCCTTTCATCTAAAATGTCATTGTAACATACAATTTTTCCCCAATTTATAAGATTTGGATATATTATTGCCTCCATTGGAGAGAGCCAGACTGGTACTTCCCAATAGTGTTGTAGTTTATTTTTTTCCCAAATGTTAAGTAACACATTCCTCACATAATGCCTCTGGAAATATTTGTGTGCCATATTTCTGCCATACCAGAGAAAGGCATGCCAGCCTAATTGTAAGTCGTGCCTTTCTAGTAATAATAGTCTTCTGTTATTCAAGTTTACCCAATCTTTTAGCCAGGTAATATAATTTCCAGTCTGGGAACCCAAAACCACCATTATTCCTAGAATCCTGTAATACTTTCAATTTTATTCTCAATTTTTTTCCCTTACCAAATATATTGCAGAGTCATTTTATTTAGTTCATCAAAAAATTTCTTTTCTAATTTTACTGGTATGGTTTGAAATAGAAAGACTAGTTTTGGTAGTACGTTCATTTTCATCATTGCAATTCTCCCTATCATCGATAACTGTACATTCCTCCACCTTTTCAAACTTGTTTCAATCTGTTGTATCAGCTTTGTATAGTTGTCCTCTTTGATTGTCCCACACCTAGCTGTTAAGAAAATACCAAGGTATTTAACCTTGTTTTCTATCTGTAGGTCAATTTTCTCTGTCAATTCCTTTTTCTGTTTGTTGGTGAGATTTTTAACTAATATCTTGGTTTTATCTTTATTTATTTTCATCCCTGTCACATCTCCATATTCCTCAATTTTCTTTATCAATTTAGGGCCAGTTTCTATGGGTTCTTCTAATATAAACACTAAGTCATCAGCGAAAGCTTGGAGTTTGTACTTTTCATTTCTAATTTCCATTCCTTTTATCTCTGTATCTTGTCTTATGTTCCTTGTCATTACCTCTAATGTTAAAATGAATAATAAAGGGGAGAGGGGACAACCTTGCCTTGTTCCTTTTTGTATACTAAAGCTTTCTGTTATATCTCCATTAACCAATTCTTTTGTGTTCTGTTGAATGCAAATTGCTTTAATTGTATTCCTAAATTTTCCATCAAATTCCATAAAATTTAATCATTGCAACATAAATTGCCAATCTATATTGTCGAATGTTTTCTGCGCATCCAGGAATATTAACGCTAGTTGTTTTTCATAATGTATTTCATAATATTCAAGTACATCCATGATTATTCTAACATTATTTTTTATTTGTCTTTGTGGTAAAAACCTGTTCTGATCTGGATAAATGAATTCATTTTAAAAGCTTTTTAATCTTTCCACAATTATTGATGCAAAGATTTTATAAACTTGAGTTTAGTAACTAAATCAGTCTATAGTTTTTAATTTGAGTTATATCCGAATCTTCTTTGGGGATCAGAGTAATAAAACCCTAATTCCATGTGTTCAGAATTTTAGCTTCCGTTAACACTTCATTGTATACTTCTAGCATTGACAGACTCAAGATGTCTTCTAATTCTTTATATATTTCTACTGGGAGACCATCTGGTCCTGGGGTTTTATTGTTTTATTGTTTTTTTTATTGTGTTCATTAACTGTTTTCCCCATGAGAATTCTAATCCATGGAATCTTTCATAAACTCTTTCCAATTATATTGAAATAAGCTCTCTTGATGACCAAAACTCCAGTTTGACATTGTTCTATTGCTTCTGCTTGCATAATATTAATTCCAGTTATTGCATGGTCACTCGCACTAAACATTCCTGTAACTTCAACACCTTCTTTTATTTCTCTTTGTTAGTGAGAATTACAATAAATCCAATATGACTGACCCCCTACTTCCTGTCTCTACCTTTTATCATGCTTTAGGTATCAATAGGAATTATGTAGGAAATCATTATAGCTTGTAGAATACAAGATATTTAAAATAATAATTTAGGTTATTTTTCATGGTTTCTTCCCAAAAAATAATCAATTCTCCAAATGCTTCTTACTGGCTCATGAATTTTTCAGATTGAGAAGCTGAGCTTTCTGTCTTTATCAGAATTCAAGGGTTTTCAAATTTTCAAATCTGTCTAAAGGAAATTTGTCATATTTCAGACTATCAAATAACTTTATGCCAATGAGGGAAGATTAGCTATGGTCTAATCTTTGGAACAACCTTTGTGATAATCTCTATTTCACATCTATCTAAAACTGGTTAAAGGAAATTTGTCATATTTCAAAAATATCTTTAAGCCATTAAGGGAACATTAGCTATGGTCTTGGTTTCATTATAGAAATTCAATAAATAATAATAATAATAATAATTATTGTTTAAGAAGTGAACCTGAATCATAATTGAACAAATTTGTGTAGCCCCAAAAGCCTATTTTCATTTTGCTTTAGTTCATTCTTATCTTTCCTTAAAATAATATCAAATTAAGAATAGAGTACCTATGTACTGTACCTTTCTATGAAATATCAGTTATTAAATTTCTAAGGGTACACATTTAATAATTGTTATAGGAATGGGAAGAAGAAGCCAATGAAACTTAAATATGGTGTTCTCCTCTCTACTACATTGTATTCAACTCCCTTTCTCTTTCATTCTTTTTCAAATAGCTCCATTCATTTCTTCGAGGCATTGCTTTTAACAATTCAGCTGGGGAGAGAGTGTTCCTGAATGAGAAAGGAGAAGCAACAGGTGGATTCGACATCACCAACTTGATCACTTTTCCAAACAGATCCTTTCAGAGAGTTAGAATTGGAAAGATGGATCTCCAGGCTCCAAAAGGAAAAGAATTATTCATTGATGAAGATGTGATTGTCTGGAACCCAGCTTTTAATCAGGTATCAAATTATTGAAGCAGCTAAGATTAATCCATTACGATCCCATATTAAATGTAGTCTGTTTAGAAGTCTAATTTCTTTTGTTTTTGTTTTTTTAAATAAACAATGGCATATTCTTTTCAAATCTTGTTGATGATCAGGCATTCCTCAAACTGACAATATGATATTAGAATGTAAAAGGCATGTTTGCATTTTTGGTTTGGATTTGAATCTGAAATAACAAGAATTGCCCTTTTCCATGAGATTGTCACTATGTGCAATTATTTACATGCCCAGCCCTTCAAACCGGACCTTTCCTACATCCAAGCAATTTCCACATCTTTTTAATTTGATGAAGTTGAAAAATTGAACAAACTGATTTAAATATCACCAATTTCACACTTTGTATGTTTATCTCCAGGTTCTTCCATTTTCTCGATGCAATGACCCTTGTTTCCCTGGATCCTGGAAGAAGGGGATTGAGGGAAATCAATTCTGCTGCTATGACTGTGTTCCATGCCCTGAAGGGAAGATTTCAGATCAAAATGGTAGGTTATGCATTCTACCATTTTTCATTAGACTTTAATATACTACTTTGAGATGCAAAAAATTAATAAAGTAAATTTCTAATAATATGGAAGGCCTAGATGATGAATTCCTTGATTTTGCTTCCAGATATGGATGACTGTTTTGAATGTCCAGAAGATCATTATCCAAATAAAGAAAAGAAAGGATGTATCCAGAAACTGGTGGTGTTTTTAACCTTTGAAGAAACCTTAGGAATTGGTTTAGCTTCAGCAGCTCTTAGTTTCTTCTTCTTGACATCTTGGATACTTGGAACTTTTATTAAGCACAGAGATACTCCCATTGTCAAAGCCAACAACAGGTCCCTCACCTACACCCTCCTTGTCTCTCTTCTTCTCTGTTTTCTCTCCTCTTTGGTTTTCCTCAGCCAGCCAAGCAAAGTAACCTGCCTTCTCCGACAATCAATGTTTGGTGTCACATTCTCAGTGTCTGTTTCTAGTGTACTGGCCAAAACTATCACAGTAGTTGTGGCTTTCATGGCCACTAAACCAGGATCTCAGATGAGGAAATGGGTGGGAAAAAGATTGGCTCTTTCTATTGTCCTTTCCTGTTCTCTCTTCCAAGTATGTATTTGTATTCTTTGGTTGTCAACATTTCCTCCATTCCCTGAGTTGGACATGCAATCAGAGCTTCAAGAAATGATTTTACAATGCAATGAGGGATCACCTTTCTTTTTCTACTGTGTCTTGGGCTACATGGGTATCTTGGCCATGGCCAGCTTTATAGTGGCTTTTTTTGCCCGTAAATTGCCCAACAGCTTTAATGAAGCCAAGTTCATCACTTTCAGCATGTTGGCCTTCTGCAGTGTGTGGATATCCTTCTTTCCATCCTATCTGAGCACAAAAGGCAAAGCCATGGTAGCTGTGGAGGTCTTCTCCATCTTGGCCTCCGGTGCTGCACTACTGGGATGCATATTCTTTCCAAAGTGCTACATCATTGTTTTACGGCCTGAGCTAAACCACAGGGAGCAACTCATAAAGAGGAACTAATACTCCATGTGATCTTTCAGACTTAGCAAAACTTTTCAAAAAAGGAATAGAAAGACTGTGCCTACAGGAAAATTATATACAATTTTAGAAGCATAGACATTTTTATTTCTGTTAAGTAATGATTTATATAGGAGATTTGTGATTATTAAGTTTTATTATGTTTGTCCATTCCAAAGGAAGTTCTCATGTTGCATTTCCATCATTTTCCAAGATTCTTTAACCTAATCCTTTCCCCATTTCAACTCTCCTGTTGAACGTGATTTTGATAATATAGGTTTGTGGTTCCTGTTAAGATATTTCAGATATTGACTCAAACAATGTTCAATGTTTGGAGATACATTTTCATGACTTTTATACTTTCAATTCATAGACCACTGTATAAATATAGTTTAAAGCTAATTACCATTTTATGAATATATATTTAACAAAGTATTATAGGATATCTGAAGGGATGCAGTGGCTCAGTGGCTAAGACGCTGAGCTTGTCAATCGAAAAGTCAGCAGTTCAGTGTTTTGAATCCCTAATGCCGCGTAATGGGGTGAGCTCCCGTTATTTTCCCCTGCTTCTGCCAACCTAGCAGTTTGAAAGCCAGTAAAAATGTAAGTAGAAAAATAGGGACCACCTTTGATGGGAAGGTAACAGCGTTCCATGCACCTTTGGTGTTTAGTCATGCCGGCCACATGACCACGGGGACGTCTTCAGACAGCGCTGGCTCTTTGGCTTTGAAACAGAGATGAGCATCCCCTAGAATCAGGAATGACTACCACATATGTGCGAGGGGAACCTTTACCTTTACCTTATAGGATATCAGTTTTGGATTTTTTAGGCTTCTTTGAAATGAAAATTTATTGAGTTTGTAAATCCCATAGATTTAGAATAGAATAGAAAGGAATAGAGTAGAATGATTTACTGGCCAAGTGTGATTGGATGAATTTGTCTTTGGTGTATATGCTCTCAGTGTACATAAAAAGAAAAAAATAAATTTAAAAAATACATTCATCAAGAATCATAAGATACGGCACTTAGTGATAGTCGTAGGTTACTAATAAGCAATCAAATCATACTAGGAAACAAATAAAATAATATAAATCGTAAAGATGCAAGCAATATGGTTATAGTCCTAAGTGGGAGGAGATACATAATAGGAAGGATGAGAAGAATAACAGTAATACAATCTTAGTAAAGAGTTTGACAGTGTTGTGGGAATTAGCTTTTTACCAGAGTGATATGCTGGGTCATAACCATTCACTCTATCCATAAATCTATTTTCATTGCAACCTGTTACCAGATTTCAATAATACGGGAAATTCAGTGAAATGGAATTAAATGTATTTTTCCTCTGTCTCATCCTTTATTTAATGTTTTGCTGAACCAAAACCATAATAAAGAGTGATTTCAATCAGTATGGAATTAGAAGGCATTTTTCAATAAAAGCAAAGGTGAAATCCTAGAAAAAATTTACACTTGTCTCTGATAAAGGGAGGGATTACAAAAATGAAAATATTTGAGGGTAAGATTTTGAGTGTTTCCCATAGATCAGGGTCCCCCTTGCACCTTGTGTTCACCTCCCATGGCTTCCTGTCACAGTCTGCTGGCCATTTTTGGGTCTGTTTTCAAGCTATTTTCTGGCTGGGTTTTTTGGCCATTTTTTGGGCTGCTTTTGTCCCATTTTTTGTCCCATTTTTGGCTTGTTTTTCAGGCCATTTGTGGCCAGCAGAATGTTGCAGGAAAGCCATGGAGGATGAAAATGAGGCTCAGGGGGCTGCACACAGCCCATTTTAACCACCAGAGGCACTGCGGGCTGGCCCTTTGATATTTCCAGATATTTAGAAACTGAAATTCAAAGAACATTATTCAATAAAAACTTATGTAGATAGATAGATAGATAGATAGATAGATAGATAGATAGATAGATAGATAGATATGGACAAGTCATGTCACCCAAGTAATAATGAAAATGCAACCCCACATACCGTTGTAAGAAGTTTGTTTATTTATTTAAGAGAATTTATATGGCCACCAAATCAGTCAGTGTCTCTCAGCTGCTTAAATATAATAAAAATAAAAATCCAATATATAAACAATAAAAACACACCCCTAGAGATAACAATCAGTCAGTTGAGGCACTTGATGGGCTCCAACCCACTCTGGGTTCCATGGGCCTATTGGAAAAACTGAGTGCTCGGGGTTTTGCAAAAGAGTGTCAAAGTAGGAGCCAATCTTATCTCCATGTGGATGATGTTCCAGAGGGAAGAAGCCATCACAAAGGAGACACTTCTTCTGGGTCCCACCAGATGTCCTGACTTAAGAAAAAGGACGCACAACATTCCCCACCTCTCTGCTCTACTGGATCACATGGATGGGATGAGGAAGAGACATTTCTTCAAATAACCTGATCCCAAGCCATGTAGGGTTTAAAGGTGATAACTTGCATATTGAAATGTACCCAGAAGCAAATTGTCACCCAGTACAACTCTCACAATAAAAGTGACACATGTGTGTTCACTTAAGAGATAAAGAGGTAGCCAGGTCTATTCATAGGCAAATGCCCTCACCCAAGATCCAACAAAGGTAGGATTAGCCCTCTACCCATCTAGCAACAGAACTCACCACATGGCACCTGGCAAGATTACATCATCACCCAGGAAGGCTCAAGCAAGCTTGAGACTCAAGGCAGCCTACAGAGTTGCCCCTGCATGGCCCCATGGGAGTCTGACAACCAATCAGAATACAAGCTCAAATTCAAAGCCCAACAGAGAGCATAAAACCAAGGCACTCTCACCATCTCTGCCCTTTTCTGCTCAGGAACTCAGGAGCCCAGGAAGCCATGTGATCCTGTTCATCAATAAATCTTCTTTCCAAGCAAGTTCCATGAATTCAATGTCTTTTTCCCCATTTGGAACTGAACCCAGAAGAATATTTCTTCCAAGAGTCCTTTGCAAGCAAAAATAGAGCTGGGGTGGAGGAGAGCATGGTTCTCCCGAGCTCTGCAGCCCTCTGTCAGTGAAAATGGAGCTCAGTGGGGCACACATGTGGCCCTCCTGAACTCTGTTCTTGGCTGAGATGGCCTCCTGTAGCACATAAAAATGCAAGTAGAAAAATAGGGATCACCTTTGGTGGGAAGGTAACAGCATTCCATGCACCTTTGGTGTTTAGTCATTCCCGCCACATGACCACAGAGATGTCTTTGGACAGTGCTGGCTCTTTGGCTTTGAAACAGAGATGAGCATCACCTCCTAGAGTCAGGAATGACTTTTACCTTTACCTTTACCTGTTACCATATTTCAATAATCGGGAAATTCGGTGAAAGAGAATTAAATGTATTTTTCCTCCATCTCATCCTTTATTCAAAGTTGTACTGAACAAAGACCATAATAAAGAGTGATTTCAATCAGTATGGAATTAGAAGGCATTTTTCAATAAAAGCAAAGGTGAAATCCAGGGCATATTCTAGAAAAAAATGTACACTTGTCTCTGATGGAGGGAGGGATTACAAAAATGAAAATATCTGAGGGGAAAAATGTGAGTGTTCCTCTAGATTAGGGGTGTCAAACTCAATTTCCTTGAGGGCCACATCAAGGTTGTGTTTGACCTTGGGGGGCCTGGTGGATGTGGTCAGCTCGACATCACTCATGTTGGGAGCACTGTTTTTTCTGGCAGAGGGCTGCAGGAGGCTGTCCAGGTCGAAAGCATGCATAGGCCCCCTGGGATCCATTTTTGCTGGAAGAAGCAGCATGGGCCAGTTTTTTGCTGTTTCCAGGGTGGCCCTTTGGGCCAAAAATAAGCACCCTGTGGGCCAGATCTGGCCCACAGGCCTTGTGTGTGGCACCCTGTCCTAAATGGAGGTGATAGATAACCATATAGGTATGTAAGTAGGTATGGAGAGAGGGAGAGGTGAGGAAGGGAGAAGTCCAATGTCTGCAGAGACATTTTTATGCTTTTTCTACTTTCAATTCATAAAACACCACATAAATTTAATGAAAAGCCCATTATCATGAATAGGTTTTTAACACAATATTATGTGATGTCAGTTTTGGACTTGTTAGGATCCTTTGAAAAGTCAAATTTATTGAGTTTGTTAATCCTGTACATTTACATGTATTTAGAAAAGGGGTTTCATATGGGTCATAACCATTTACCCTCTACCCATAAATCTATTTCTTGAGCAACCTGTTATCAGATATTAACCATAGGGGAAATTTAGTGAAATGAAATGAAATGAAATATATTCTTCCTTCTGTTTCATGCTTTACTCAAAGTGTATGCTGTTCATTAGAAAGAGTGATTTGAATTACTTTACAATAAAAAGCCTGTCATTTTTCAAGAAAGTCATCTGAAATTCAGCTCAAGTCCTAGAAAAAGTTTACCCCTCTCTGATAGAGGACAGGACTACAAAGATGAAGAAACGTTGAGGAACATTTTGAGTGTTAAGTAGATGGAGAGAACAGATAGGCATAGTCCACTCCTCTACTCAGAATAGAATTCCCTATGCTTCCAGGCTTGAAATTTTGACCTTGGACAATCTGGAACTGCACCACCTGTGGTCTGATCTAAGCATAGCACACAAAATTGTCTGCTACAACATCTTGCCTGTCAATGCTTCAACCGCAATAATACATGAGCAAACAATTGTTAGAAAGTCAACGTAAACCGCTTCAAACTCAATTGCAGAAAATACGACTTCAGCAACAGAGTGGTCAATGCCTGGAATGCTCTACTCGACTTTGTTGTTACATCCTCAAACTCTCACAGCTTCAGTCTCAAACTGTCTACCGTGGACCTCACCCTAGTTCTAAGAGGTCCATAAAGGGGTCATGCATAAGCACACTACTGTGCCTACTATCCTTTCCAATTAGAAAGATTTGTTGTCATAGAACAAACAAACTGACAGGAAAAAGCAGTGAAGCTAGGCAAAATCACATCAGATACCTGTACTATTAGCACAGGAGCCCCCCAGGGCTGTGTGTTCTCTCCACTTCTCTTCTCTCTGTATACCATT